GTGCGCAGAGCAGGGAACCACCCTGGCTCCAGGAGTTCCAGGGACGTGGTTGTGAGGAAACCAATACAGAGTCACAAAGACCGAGGCATAAAGCTGCATGGAGATTTGTTGCAATGTTATTTATAAAAGGGGGGACTGGAAATAATCAACAGGAACATTTTTTTCTCTAAAATTAAGTGATGTGCGTTCCCTTTGTAATTAGGAAAAGATTATGAAATTTCATTTGAGTAACTGAAACTATTGTCAAATACCCCAATTGTTTTCTTTTAAATCCCATTTTAATATTCAAAGTAGAACATTAATATTAACAAAGGAAGGCCAGATAAGGTATATTCCTCTCATTTTTCCTGATGGGAACAACAGGTAAAATATATTATAATTTTGGGTACCATCAGAACTTCTGAAGAGAAAAAGTATGTTGAAAGAATAGGGAGGGCCTCCCCAGTGGCGCAGCGGTTGAGTGCTGGGTTGCAAAGCTGCCTGCAGCCTCTGCAGCGCCAGTTCGATCCCCGGCTGCTCCCAGGCTGCTTCCCGGCCACTGGAGGAGGGTCCCACATGGCGCGCAGACCTCTCCTGCCGCCCGCTGCTCCCCTCAGCAGTGTGCTTCGGTCCTTCTGCCTGTTCTGCCCCCAGCTATGGCTCTGGTGAATTCTCTCACCCTCCCGTGCTTCTGACTGTGCCTAGTACTTGTATAAATAAATAAATAAATCTTAAGGAAAAAAAAAGAAAGAATAGGGAAAGGCAAGAGAAAATAATGTATATAAAGATAAGATCCCAAAGTCATACTGAATAATATCAAGATAATATTAAGTGAATTACGTTTAGTGCTTCCCTCCCCCCTCAACACACACACACACACACACACCAATAACATCTTTTGAAGTAAAACTCAATATTACCCACTAAGTCCTTTCCCACATGACTAACAAAATCTATTTTTGTATTCCAGTGAGATTTGCAACAAAGAATAGAGTTCCAGCAAAAAGAGGAAACAATTTCTGTGTTGATCTGAGTTTTTCTCATTTCCTTATTTTAAAATAATCACCCAACAAGCCCCAAAAAGTCAGAACATTAGCACAATCTCTAAGCACTGTATAGACATCACTGTGGATATTTTAGAATTAAACTGAATCAATTAAAAGGTTCTGGGTCATTTGCCATCTTCTTAGAAAACTTATAATGATACAGCACAACACTGGGTGCTGAAAGAAACCTTCAAGATCATCTTGATCCAATCCTGTCACTTCACAAATAAAGATCAGGGGAAATAACCTGGCTGATCCAACACTGAAGACTCGAATTAAAATAGATGTCAGTTTTAAGGTGACTGACAAATTTAGAGAGAGGGGATAAGAAATAGAAAATGCTCAAAAATAGGTTTCAGTGGGATAGTAATTATGATCAATGAGCCTATTAAGTGAAGACATAGGAAGTTCCATGATCAAAGTGTCCCCACCCCAATGTCAGGACCACTTACCTCTGGAAAACTGAGATTAAAAGTTGCCAGAACTAACACTTTGAATCTGCAAGTAGAGGCAAAGGAAGAGAACTCAGTCTCTCCTCTGAAATCCACTGGTCTAGTTTTATAACTAAGCTGAGAGGTATCCAGGAGTTGCCCTGATTTGATGATGCCTCCATTTTCAGAGGAGTGGAGACTTGAGAAAATGGTCTGCGCACAAGAGAAGAACAAAGACAGGACAAAGAAAGGGTGGCTGAAACCCTTGCTAGCTACTCAGTGGCCCCTGGCCAGCAGCATCACGTGGAAGCTTGTTACAAGAGCAGCATTTGGGGGTACCCAGATCTATGGAGTCAGAACTTAAATATTGACAAGCCCCCTCCTCCCCATCTCTACCCTAGTCCTCCTGCAGATGTTAAAGTTTGAGAGGCACTTATTTAGATAATGCAGCAGGAAAGGGAAGTATAATTGACTATCTGTAACCACATTTAACATGTTTCTGTAATAGTTACCTCCATTACCAGTCTTTGTCTAATTTTAAATTTTATATTATCTAATGTTTAGCCTAAATTTTAAATGGTCTTAGTGAATATCTTATCAAGTAGTCATGCTTTTTCAAAAGGTTCCTCAAAGTTAAGAAAGGAAAAGAAAAAATAATTATATTCTGGAAGCTTTTACCATTTTCAAAAGTTACATAGATTATGATTGGGGTCTTTTTCTTACTTATTTCTGTGGGGTTTTAATAGGACCATGACTAAATTTTCCTCAGTTGAGAGTTAGAAACAGGGAGACCTGATGAAGGAGGAAGACTGAATTCAGAATAGAATGTTCTGGTGAAAAAGAGGAACTTCACATAAGGGAATTTTTTTATGATCAAAGACTCTGAACGTCACATGGTCTAAACATGGTTCCACAGCTGACTCCCTCAGGCTACAGCTACAATCCCTGCTCACACACTCCCAGTGGGATGGACTCAGCACCTCCAAAGCCACCCATTCATCCTCACATATGCAAATGATTAGCAAATTTTCCTTCTAATTTGTCTCCTCGCAGCTTTCAATAGTCCTTCGATCAGTAACCCCACCATTATTGTCCCTACTGTTAGTTCAGCCTCATTATAAATTTCCCACTGGGATGTTTTTCTTAAGATCAAAAATCAAAGACACAAGTTCCATGTATTTATTTCTCATGGGCCTAGGGCAGCTTGTAGTAATGGGGTATCTGAAAATTTTACATTTTGCTTTTATGTTGAGGTGCCTTAAGAAAACCTCGTTTGTACAAGAAGAGCATTAGAAAAACCAGAGAATGTAACTAAGGAGATAATTATAACAGAAATCTAGTTTAGGGATAGTACTGTCCTTAAACACTATTTTAGGCCTAGGTTTTCTGAGAGTAAACGCAGATATGAAAATGGGCAAAAAAGGAGGTACTTCAGAAAGGTTTGAGAGTCTCTGGCCTTGGAGAGTCATAGATGATTAGTCCTGGAAAGTATCTTAGATCAAGTATCATTCTCATTACAGAGAAGGAAACTGAAACCCAAAGAGGATAAATGACTTGCCTGGTACTGGCCACACAGTTAGCATCACAACCAGGTACTGGGGTGTCCCCACCCCTGTTCAATGCCCTTTTTGTTACATTGCCAGACTCTGAGTCTTGGATGTATTAGGAAAGCTTGTCCAGCATAAACATCAAACATATAGCACCACTTTACTGCTGGGCCAAGGGCAATGGTTATGGATGCCCAAAAGCAAATCCAAGCCATCCTAGCACTCAAGAATCTCCAATCCCAAAATCCACAGGCCTAACCCCAATTGAGAAGTTACATTGGAGCTGTCAGCTGTCTTTCCTCCTCCTCTCTTTCCTATAATTCCATTTGTCCCTGCTTATCCATCAACACTGAACTGCAGAGTTTTCCTATAAGCAGCTTATTTTAATCGCCCATTAAAATAATCTCTTCATGATGAGAGGTTATTTGCGCTCAGAACAGAAACACCACTGTGAAACACTTCCTAATTTCTGAAACACTTGAAGCTAAAAGCTCATAACATACTGAGTCAGAGTTGCTAGTAAAAAGTAAAATGTCACAGGCGATCCATTTATGCAGGCAGCTAAACACTGGACACATCCAAACGATATTAAAAGAATCTTTCTTGTCATCTAATTTTTTAATGCCACCACTATAGCATGAACAAGCTGTTAGAGCATGTGGTGTGCAGTGCCAGCACAGCGGCAAAACCTCTCTGAGCTCTGAGTGATTGGTTGGAGGGTCACAGCGGCCCATCCCGAGATCCTAACAGACCTCACAGAGATATCATCTGATCCATAACAACAACGAGTTGTGTCTTAGGTCTTTGTAAGTTTAGGCAGATCACAACACCCTCAAAGCAATGAAGTGAAATCATACAAGTTTGAATTAATATGCTTTTTCTACCAGTATGTCCTTCTGAAGTAAAGAGAAGCAAGCCCTGGAAAAATTACCAGTCTAGGTCCCAGGCATTTTAAGTGAGATCTTCCATGCTAACAATTGTCATTTATATTATCAAATGAAACAGAATCCCACTATGTTAAGCAACCTGATCCTATTTATTGGTTTAGAGCAGTCTATTCTGGGAATAAAAACATCTAGGAAGCTGTATTAGCTTTTTAAGGTCACTAGGAATGAGTGGGTGCTTGATTCAATTCATCAAACGAGACAGGGGTGGATGAGACAAGTTAATACTCAATCACTGAATAATTTTCCAGGCTTCCTTGCTGGCTTCAGGTATATATGATCTTAAATGGCAAGAGAAGAGAAGATAAACACAGCCTGATCAGAGTCCACAGTGAGGCAAAAAAAGAAAACAAAAAGAGGAAGAAAAGTCATAACATGTGTCCATCCCAGAGTGTCTTCCGTTACTGTTAATCAGACTGTATGTCACACTTCCTGGAGCCACTGTACTCATTAGCCTGGCAGAGAGGATTGGAATTTTACCACTTTAAAAGGAGAAATGAGGCAAAAGGCAGAAGCTAGGCTGATGGGAAATAGAGAAGGGTGTTTCCCTATAAACACATCACCCAAAAGTGGCACTTTTCAATAAAAATCTTAAGGTTACATAATGATAAATGGAAGTGGCTTGCAAGCAGGAGGGTTGGTAGTCATGTTCCTCACATTCCCCACCAAACTGAGTCTCACTGTCCCACACCCACCATCCTCTAGGCTGGAACATGTTTCCTCCGCCTTCGAAGGTGCAGAAATTTCTAGAATGGCTTTTTTTTTTTTCTTTTTTTGTGGGACCCTCGCCAGTGGCCAGGGAACAAACAGGCACTGCAGAGGCTGCGGGCAGCCTTGCAGCGCAGCGATCAACCATTGAGCCACCAGGGGAGGCCCTCTAGAACGGCTTTTATAGAAGTAGCCTGCTCTAAAACAGTAAACATGACCAGCCTTCTTAGCACAGTGAGGTCCAGGCTCATTTTTTTAACACAAGATAATGTCTTACCTGAATTGCTAGGGCCCTGGATTAGTCATTTTTTAGGGCTTAATTGTTGCCTCAGGAGAAACTCTTACCTTCTGAAATGGCCTTCTTCACCGCAGTCACGTAAGTCTCAGGTTCATCGTCACAGGTGAGCTCCTGCCAGTGGGCCCAATCTGGGAAGTAGTCCAGGAACTCCTCACTGTCCTGGACGCCACAGAGCAGGCGCACCACGCGGTGGGGAGGGTGGAAGGCTCGCTGCAGCAGGGGCAGCAGGGCCGGCTGGCAGAACTGCTGCACCATCTCCACAGACAGCAGCACCACAATGCATCGTGCACTGAGGAAGAAGCTCAGGTCCGTGGCCGAGAAGGAGACCTTGGGGCCCAGCTTGTAAGTCAGAATCTCCTGGTTGTGGACCTGCCGACTGGCCAGGAAAAGGTCCTGGAGGTACTGGCACCATTCCGCAGCATCCGGGCTGTAGACGATGAGGATGTCGCATCCTCTGAGCACCTCTGAAAAAGAGCGAGGCGATGAAGCATGTTAACGTGTCTGTTTCTTCCTTCTAGGAACCCTCATGACCCACAAGCTATGCCATCCCTCCAGGCACCCACAGTCTCACTGTCTGCCTCCAGCAAAGCTCACTAACCTTTCCCCATGCAGAGTCTACATCCAACCATCCCAGACTCCCTGTCATTACCCAAATATATCCCGCCATTTTGGATCCTCACAGACACTTTTGCTTCTGTTGGCATGCTCTTTCCCCATCACCCCCACCCTCTCTGCTGATGCAGGAAAAATGATGTTGATATGCTGATGATGATGACATCAAGCACTTAAAGCTCTTACTATGTTTCAACTGTTCTTCCAAGCCCATATCCTATTAAACTTATTTAATCATCAGCAACCTTATAAGGTAGGTACTATTTGCCCCATTTCAAAGCTGAGAAAACTCAGGCATGGCAGGTTAAGGAATTTACCCAAGGTCTACAGTGGCAGAGTCAGAATTTGAACTTGGCTCATACGCCCAGAACCTGGTTCCTTTTCAAACACAGTGGTTACCAACACAGATGTGGAATTAGGTGGCCAGCTTAGTACACTGGCCCTGCAAAGTATTCACTATGTAACCTTGGACAAGTTACTCAAATATTGTGAACTTCAGTTTACTCATCTGTAAGTGAAAATGGCAATACTCAATCAGCGTTCTGTGAGAATTAAATTATATATTCTATATCTCATGTAAAGTGCAAGGCTTAGAGCTTAGCATGTAGCAAACCCTCAGTAATTGATAGCTGGTATCATTACCTCACATTAATATAAACAGTGCAGCAATGCAGTTGGCAACCATGACTGAATTAATGTTGTGACCTGCACAGCATCTGTAAGGTGTCGCCATACCTGGCCCATGACATAGGCTTTCTTCTCCCTCTAATAAAGCACAGATTCCAGAAACAGAGCCAAAAGCCTTAGAGAAGCACTGAGTTTCAAAGGATTTGGGGTGGTCATTTGGCCCAAACTCTTCATTTACGGATAAAAGAAGCACTTCATCTGGGAGAAGTCAGGGACTTGCCTAAGCAAATTAGTTTCAGAGCCAGGACTGAACCTCAGACTGAACCTCAAATCGTCCTGTGGGTTCCTGTCCAGTCCTCTTGCCAACTCACCTGCTGCTCCCCATCAGGATTTCTGTCAAGACTCTTATGAGTAATAAATCACACCTTCTAATTATCAAAGTTCAGAGAAACTTGGCTTTAGCACAACTGTTACCACCATTGTGGGTCCTCATCTCTCCACTAATTTAACAAACTGTTGAATCATTTGGACAGGGTCAGCAAGATGGAAGTCGCCAGGATCAAAGCAATAAGGATCCTTCCTCCACTGGGAAAGGAAGATAGGAATTGTGTGAAGCTTGGAAATCATCTAATTTAATCATCAATTAAATGTCATCCCTGGACCACATTTCACTGATAGGTTCTTTTTTTTTTTTTAAGATTTATTTATGCATATGAAAACTGGCGTGTAGGCCAGAGGTGTAGGGGGGTGGGTAAGAGGATTCACCAGAGAGAGTGGGGAACAGAACAGGCAGACTGACTGAAATACACTGCTGAGGGGAGCAGCAGATGAGACAGGAGAGGTCTGTCTCGCCATGTGGGTTGCTCCTTGGCCAGCCAAGATGGAATTCGTGCTGCAGTGGCTGGCAATAGCTCGATAGCGCTGTCTTTAACTCCTACGCTTAGCAAACAGGTCAGAGGCAGGGCAAAACCTGAGGCACTTAGTTCTGCGAACATCAAGGACAGCATCCCCTGGCCAGTCATCATCTACCACCACATTCAAAGTAAAAATAACATATAAATGTAAACCCAACACAGTTCTGATTTCCCCCAGGTGGACAGCATCAATTTTTTAAAATAGCAAATAAAACACAAATTTGAAATTTCTTTCTATTTGGAGTCCCTGCTTTGTTGGAGCCCGAATCCAATGCAAACATAAAATCCAAAAGGGTACCAAAAGGAGAAAGTTGATTAGTGAGGGAGGATTTTCAAAGCAAAGGCATGCAAATTTTAAAAGCCAGTATTAGAAGGCAATATTGGACTGGAGGAAAACAGCGAACAGCTTGGTGACGCCACGGACATTTGTAGCTCTGCAGAAAACTCAATTCTGAACACGGTCTGTTTCTTCAATTGCAATAGAATAGTCCTTTTTAGGCATGTTTACTCTGGTCCCAAGTGTAAGCAGATTAAGATCAAAATTTTAATTATGAGTATTGAAGCTTTCCACAGAATGAAATTTTGCTGATTGTATCTTTTTTCTCTGGGTAGAGCATTACATTGTACCTCAATGAAAAAATAATTTCAGAACTTCGGAAGAATAAAATTAGTAAAACTCAAAACTACAGGGTGATCACACTGACACAAGCAAAGTTAAAGTATCAGAATGTCTTTATCTTCTCTCTGCCCCCTCCTTTTTACATGACTAGTTTATACTCAGAAGCAAATGTTCTTCTAAATGTAAAGTGTTATTGCATAGAAGGAGCGTGCTTGAGCATGGTCTATTAGTAGACAATATAGAAGACTTTACCTTTCACTATAATCTTAAGGATGCAAAGTTAGTGAGGCTGTGCTTGAACTCAGTTAAACGTGCAAAGTAAGGAGCAGTAGTCACCATCATACATGAACATATACACACATGCACTAGCAAATATCACCCAATAATTTGTACAAATGGGTTAGAAGACTAAGATCTCAAGAAAGACTGACTGTGATCCCATAAGTTAGTGATGAAGAAAGAAGTCATTGGTAAAGTTTTTAATAGGGTTACCAAGTGATGGCAAGAAGTAAAGAACAGGGAAAAAGAGGCTTTCCTAGAGGATAAGAACTGCCACAGAGAGGGCCTCCCTGATGGCCTAGCGGTAAGTCTCACCAATACCACCACAAAGGCCTGAGTTTGCTCCCTGGCCAGGGAGCTAACCCACACATGGTGCAGCAGACCTCTCCTGTCTTGCCCACTGCTCCCCTCAGCAGTGTATTTCAGTAAATCTACCTGTTCTGCTCCCCACTCTGTCTCTGGTGAATCCTCTCACTCCCCATATCTCTGGCCTACGTCCCATTTCTTGTATGCATAAATAAATAAATCTTCTAAAAAAAAAGAAGTGCCATAAAGAAGGCAGCTGGGGTCCTGGAGCACTGATTGATCTAACAGGAAAGCAGCAGCAATTTGACACTGTCTACAAGCAATTTATGGCACTTTTATAAGGAGACAGTGACCCAAAGGCAGGCCAACATTTTAAGATGACAAATTCTGGGGGCACTAAGGGACAAACTACTCTTTTCACCCTGAATCCCGCCTCCATGTCCACAGGAAAGTTTAAATGTTAATAATAGAGGAAACTGGGTATGTAGTTTGTATGCGAACTCTCTGTTCTATCTTCACAATTTTTATATAAATCTAAAACTATTCTAAATCAAAAATTTGAAAATACAGTTTAAATGGAAAGTGCTTTCTAGGTCAGTCTTTTCTATATGGAAAACATATTTAAGATGTCTCATTCCTAGGGTCCTAGTGTTAAATTCAACTCCCCCTCCCTCTTTGAGGAAAAGTGCTCATAGTAGCTAGTGCCTCCAACTAGTTAATATGACAACCTACTTGGTCACTCATTTGTGGTGTGACTTCAGATCAATAGAGTAAATGCAGGCAACTTTTGCATCAATGTAAATGAAGACAGTGGATTCTATCACCTTCCTGAATTTTGCTGAAATTGAAAGCTGGGGAACTTGTAAAAAAAAATGTCCAAAGTGGAAGTTAAAGTCCCTCCATATGAATGAGCCAGTAACAACACAGGACTACATGCTTTGTCAGCAACTCTCTCTCTCATGGGAGACCCCCCTTTCTTTGAGATAATTCCCTTCTTTAGCCACAAGTTATTTCTGCAGATGATTTTCCTCACAAATCAATTCTTCTCATTTGTGTTTGTTCATTCAGAGAAAGGAAATGTGTGAAGCCCATACATCCTAGAGAGAAATGAGGAAGGGGCTTTGTCCTTGCAGAGTCGCAAGAACAGGAGTGGCTCTCGAAAGACAAGGGATGGCGCTCAGAGGCAGGCGCTGGCTGGGGCAACAGAGAGTGACAGTGGTAAGTGAGAGAAGGTTCCTTTAAGATTCAGAGTCCATTTGAGAAAAGAAAAGAGAGGAAGTGCCAAGGAACTCAGCCTAGACCATTTCTTGAGTGTGCAGGGGACTCTGGCACCCCATTGATCTGTCTGGAGCCCTTTGAGTCTGAACACCATATGGAAGAGGGATATGAGGCAGGCAAGGACCAGGATAGAGAGGGGCTGAGGAACTCTCATGTGAGAAGCTTCCAGACTCTGAAAGTTTCATGTTTAGACTTGGTAGGAATATGAAGGGATCTTGAGGATCAGATGGAAGTTAAAAATCACAAAAAAGTGTAAGCCCTCCTGTCCTGTAAGTCCAGAGATAGTAGAAGGATCTGGATGAGAAGTCTTGGAGAGAGGAGGCAGGAAAAGGTTTTGAGAGGTTTATTCAAGTACCTGGAGGTTAACATGCAGAGAATATGTTAGTCTTCATCCACCCAGATCAGGCTACTTGAAAAAGTCACCATGACCTCTCTTTCACTCTCCTCTCTCTCAAGTGTAAAGACAAGAGACACTATCAGGAAACAGAGACTATTCCTGAGTAGGCTGAATCCACTTCATTTTATCTCGCTAGCCAAGTTCTTTCAAGAACAGGAGCCAAGATCCTCCTTGATTTCAACAAGCAAAACTGCCTTTCAAAAAATAAAAGACAAATGCTGACCCCTCAGGGGACAGGAATTCAAGACAACCTGATGATTTAGCCATAATAAGGAATGAAGTCCCAACACATGCTACAACTTGGATGAGCCTCGAAAGCAATACGCTGTGTGAAAGAAGCCAGTCACAATAACCACGTACCATATGATCCCATGCACATGAAAGTCCAGAACAGGAAAATACAGAGACAGAAGGTGGAACTTAGGGTTGGGGAGAAGGTGGGATAAAGGGGGTGAGAGCTAAAGCATATGGAGTTTCTGAGGTGATAAAAATGTTCTAAAATTGACTGTAGTGATTCCACATACCCGTGAAGATACTAAAAGGCATTGACTTGAACGCTTCAAATGGGGAATTGGATGGCATGTGAATTGATGTTAATAAATGTGATAAAAAGACGAGGAGAAAAGGATGAAAATGAGGGCAGGGAAGAACACAAAGAAGCCACCGCTCTCAGCAACAGCTCCAGAGCCTATAGTATGTTGGCAAGAGATGGTCCCCACTCTCCCCTCTGCGACCTGCCATCATTGGTCCTTGTACCTCTAGACCACAGGGAGCCCCCAGGGACCCTAGAGGCTCAACTCCCACTTGCAGCACCTGGAGTGGTGTCTCACCACAGAGGACGCTGACAGCAAGAAGATTTGATAGCTTGAACCATTGCAGACATCTGCGGAAGCCACTACAGAGCCCATAAATAGCCCAGGTCTGGCCACTGCCTACAGCCTTCAACTGAATGCAAGCACTCCCTCCCTCTGAGCCCTTCTCCCACGGCCACCAGAGCAAAGCACACAGGACCCAGGCTCAGGGTGACTCTGTCTCCTCTGCCCAAAGACCCTCCTAGTTTGCCACCTCCTGAGCCTAATAGCCCAGGCCCTTTTTCCAGCCATGGGAGGAGATGGGAGCTTCTATAACCTCATTTCCTATTTCTCCCCTGTCATCGCCCTACTCCAACTTCCTGCTCCCTGCTCCTTAAACACATCACATACACCCATTGACTGTTCCTCTGCCTGCTCTTCCCTCACATTCTTCCTTTCCTTTCAGGTCTTTGCTCAAATGTCCCCAACCTGGCTGCCTCCTTTAAAATGAAAATCCCAGCCGCTTTACTCCTCTCTATTGTTTTTCCACTGCACTTATCATATCAAATACTTTCCTCACGGTCAAGTACACTCCCCTAATACTCTCTAAATACTCACAGGTACATGGCTTAAGTCTGCTTTGTTTGCTGAATTATACACCTGACACCTAGGACAGTGTTTGCAATCAGTAGGTGTACAATTTGTTAAATGAATGAATTGCCTGAAGATAACTCAGCCTCAGCTTTCCAATGGAATGTGCTCCACTGGAATGAATATTACCAGAGGTTACTTATTCCCAACACAATTTCTAATCTTCAGCTGGAGCCCACAAGGTTAAGGTGACCTACCTTCCTACTCCTCTTAAACAGCGAATCTGTATCTCCCAATCTAATAGAGTTGTGATCACTGGCTTCTGCCCCTGCTTCCAAATGGCTAGAAGGCTAGGCCTCCAGGTTCTGGAGAGAGCTTCTGCATCAATCTACCACTTGTCCCCACCCCCAGATCAACATCTTCTCCTGGCTGAGTCGAACTTATGTTCCAAGAAGCTTTTTGTATACTGTTTGTACATGTTATCTCTACTAATATACCTTAAGCTAGGCCGAGGAAAGCACAGGCAAACCCAGTTGCAAACACGATCATGCTAATCTTCTCATCCAGTAATTCCCTACTTACTCAGTGCTTTCCTTCACAAGACTATAAACTCCTTTAGGCACAGAAAGTAGACGTGTCCCGGTCACCACTGAGAACATACCAGGTGCATGAGACCCATTAAAGCGCATAGCAATTGCTCCTTAGCGGTCTCTTGTTATCAACGTTATTCAGCCAGTTTGTCCTGGGTCTCAGTGAGTGACTTGCCAAGTGGACACACCCCAATTAGCAAAGACTCCTCACTCACTCTTTGATGGACAGATGACCTGGTGCCCTGCACCTCTCCCCGCTCCCCAGAGTCCAGCATAGGACATAGTTAAAGTAAGGCGGAAAGAATGGTGTTCCTTGATGCCTATCCAAATTCTAGGCGAAAAACAAAGCCTGGGACAGGGAAAGGCCCAGCGCCAGCCGAGCCGAGGACAGTCTGAGCGCCCCCTCTTGGCACGACAGGCTCCTCGGAGAAGCATTTTGCCCGCAGGGACCAGGCAGCGGCTGTCCTATTTTCTCTGTCTCTCGGTTCACAGAGCTGGACTAACCAGAGCGACGACCTTCAGAAGCGCTGCGGGACAGCCACTGGGGGAGAAAAGGGGATTTGGGAGACAAGGAAGGGTCAGGCAGGGTCTGAAAGCATCGCGCACTGCGGGACAGGGAGCGCGAGAAAGTTGGGGTGCGGAGTTTGCCACACGGAGCAGAGGGCGAACAGAAAGCAGCGAGACCCCGCACCCAAGAGCCGGAGCTGGAGCGGGGCAGCTCCGAGGAGGGCCGCGAGGCGAGCGAGCGGGGCCGGGGCGCGCCGTGCGGGGTCCGGCGGGGGGCCCGCGCGCCCCGCCTACGCACCTGAGGCTGCCATGCCGGGGCGCCGCTCACATGCCCCTCTCGCTGCGCGCGCTGTGCCCGGGGCGCGGAGCCGGGGCCCGGCGGCGTCCCTGGGCGCGGGGCGAGGGGGGCGCCGGGCTCCGCGCAGCACCAGCAGCTGCTCTGGCGCTTCCTCCCGAGCGGCGACCGGGACGGGCCTCGGGGGCGTGTCCACACCACCCGCCCCGCCTGCGCCTGCGGGGCTCGGGCCGCGGCACCTGCTCCGGCCGTTGGGGAGGAGAAGTGAGAACCCCCGCGGCGCGGCGGGCTGCAGGCCGGCTCCCGGCTGGACCCCCGCCCCGCGCGCGGCCGGGGCCCAGGGGGAGGCGGGGGGCTTCGCGCCACGTGCGTGGCCTCTGCCCCCCGGAGGCGGAGGGGGTGTTGGGAGCAGAGGCAAGGAGGAGGCTGAGCTGCCCGGCCTCCGCGACCCGGGTCTGGGGCCGTGCCTGGGCACAGCTGGCCGGGCCATCTTCCTTCTCAAGGGACTTCGTCCCGAAGCCACTGCCCGCCCCCACCCCGCCCCCAGGAAAGGGGAAGGGGCAGGAAGGGGAAGCGGCATCTTCCTTGGCACCCGGCCCATGAGCGCTTGATGTTGCCCTTGATTACCCTCCAGTGATCTTCCTGTAATGCCGCCGACCTGGTCTCCAGGGCACACGAACATTAGCGATAAGCTCAGAGGATAAATGCATGCTACGGTTATCTTTGTCTGTTATGGCTTTGGGGTAGCAGCTGTCTCTGTCTTCCTGTGAAGAAACAAGCCAAATTCCTTGTTGCCCAACGTTCTAGACCTGAGACTTGAGCTCTCGTTCCCTTTCCCAGTACTTGACCTCCTCTCTTTGTGAGCTGCCGGAATCGATCAAATAGCACAGTGCAGTGCCCTTTGGATTTTGGGCTCCAGTGCAATGGATCCAGAGAATGGATCCAGGAAGCAGAGTTAAGGGAAAGATAAAGTTGAAGTGTGGGTGGGGAAAAAAATGGATTTCTGAATGGAAATATCAGAGTTGAGGCCAAGGATAAGTTTCCTACTGCTGCCATAACAAACTACCACAGACCTAGTGGCTTCAAATAACACAAATTTATTATTTTACTGTGCTGGATTTCAAAAGTCCAACATGAGTTGGTGTTAAAATCAAGGTGCCGGCAGGCTGGATTCCCTTCTGGAGCCTCTAGAAGAGAACCTATTTTCTTGTTTATTTCAACTCCATTCCTTGGTTAATGGACTCCCTCCATCCTCAAAGCCAAAAACATAGCTTCTCTTTGACCCTGCTTCAAACATGGCGTCTCTCTCCCTCACTCTCCCACCTGCTTCTCCTACTTTTAAGGACTCCAGTGATTGCATTGATTCCATTGAAATAATCTAGGAAAATTTCCCCAGTTTAAGCTCAATAGACTCTGCAATCATAATTCTGCATTGCCATGTAACATAGCATATTCACACTTCAAGGGCATGGACATATTTGGGAAAGCCATTAGTCTGCCTGCCACAGACCTGGAATTCTAAATGAGAAGATGAAGTCACTGCCTGTTATGCCATTCCTTGCACCTATGGCCCACCTGCAGGACTTCTCTGGCCTCCTCCACATCATACACTGCCATGGTCTGTACTGTTCTTTAATAGAAATTATATAGATATTTTCCCACAATTTAATATTTTAATTTGTGAATCCACCATTCAACTCTAAGCCCCTCAAAGGCAAGATCTAAGTCTATCTTTTTCACCATGGGACTTCCAGCACTTGGAGCCAGCTCCAACAGAATAAGCTTGAAAAGTATTTGAATAAGCGAATATGACCAAGGAATCCCATTGCAGGGAGCAGGGCAATGGGTTTCTGTCACCTCTGAGTTTCCCTTGCTCTACCAGGAGTAACTACACATGAAATATAAGCTTCAGCAGAGGCCCTTCCCTCAAATTCCCCCAGCATTGCCCACTCCCTGCCCATCTTTCTGTCTGTATTCCATAAGGCCATGTCCCTTGGGGGCAGAGCTATGTCCGTCACCACAGCATCTCCAGTGCCTACCATAGGGCCCAGCAAGTAGTAGGTATTCTTGGTTTTTAAAACATCAAGTCCAAGCTGCTCATTTTATAAATACACTTGTTGGTATTAAGTAATCTGCCCAAGATCCCACAACCTTCATCCGAGGGGCTTGCTTCTTGCTTTTTTCAGGAGATTAAGGAAACTGCATGTTCCTGTGAACAGGGTGCAAGTATGAAGACTGGGTTTTGTGGGACAGGCTGAGGAGCCATCACACGTGAGGGAAGGGAAACAGTTCCAGGGCACCAGGTGCCTGGTTTCACCTTGTAAAGACCCTGGATTTATAAAGACTTCTACCTTTTCTTCCTGCTTGAGAAAGTTTCAGGCCAGTGGGACAGCATAGTAAAACCCAATACAGACTATTTGTGGGTGTGGGTAACTTTTTAGGAACAAGCAACTTTGCAAACAAAGCCCTGAAACCTAGGCCTCTTGCAAGAGTAAGACCTCCTTCCCCACTCACCACAAGAGCTACTCCCCACGAAGTTTCTGCCACAGCCCAAGGACCCCCTCCTTGGGTCATTTAGAGCAATGGAACTCCCCAAACCAAGGACCTCAAGTTCAGAGGAACAAATGTAATTGGCTGTCTGCTCTGAGGACTGTGCTCAGAGTAGGCTCATTTATTCAGTCCTAGTGAATCTTTACCTCAAACCTGTGAGGTGTGAGGTAAACATTATTATCATCCCATTTCACAGGTGAAGAAACACGCTCCAGTAAGGTAATTTACCTGACCTGCAATCACCGGTTTACAAATGCCAAAACTAGATTTTGAATTCAAATCTGTTGGTTTCATGACAGCTGTCTCCCTTGTCAGGCACTGTGATCCAGAAACCATGCCAGCTATTCCATGCTAGCTCCATGATCCCCAAGCCAAAATAACCCCAGTGACAGGGAAAAGGACTCTCAGAGATCGCAGTTGCCTACATCCATTCTCCCCTGTTTCTTAGTAACAGAAGACAAGTTTTATTTGGGGGTAGTCTCCAATTCACTGTCTCCTCTTACAACTTAGAGAAGGCTAATAAGATGTAAGTGGAAGTCTGGCTAGAGCATCCAGAAAAGTTCTTTATAGGATGCTTCAGTAGTACTGGCAGAAACCCTTTTTGCTTTTCTCTCTCTCTTTAAATTCCTGCCTGGAATTGTAAAGGATGGCAGGAAGTCCACAGCCCTTTTATGTTGTGAGGTGGCCATGAGTGGGAAGCCACACACTAAAGATAATAGAGCAGAAAGGGCAAAATCTGACCAAGCAAGCTCCAGGTTTCCCAGGCTTCTGGATTCTTTTACATGAAAGAAAAATACATCTTTATATTATTTGAGCCATGATTTTTGGTATGTCCTACTAGAAATAGGCAAACTTAATTCTTTAGGTCTTGATTTGGGAATGGGAACTAACATTTATTGAGTAGTAACTGTAATCCATGAACTTTCTTATACTATCTCAGTTAATCCTCACAATAACTCCACATTATAGATATTAACTCCTCTTCACAGAAGAAGAAACTGAGTTTTAGAGAGTTGGAGAATTTTTCCAGAGTCAATTAGCAGGTAGCAAAACTGGGATTCCAACCCAACTCAGCCCAAAGTTCATGGTTTCCATAGCCCAGTGACATTTTGGGTGCCTTTACAGAGTGAATTAAATGTGCTTCCTGAAGATGGGGTGCTCGCAAGTGGGGAGTCACCCTTGAGTCCTCAGCATTTCAAGTCTCATGCAGATGGTGCCCTCGGTAGTGCATGAAAGCATATCTTGCACATTTTCTACTTCTGCCTTCTGGAGTGCTGATGCAGAAAGTCTAGGCAGCTGTGAAAAGAATTTTAGGACTTACATAGACTCTTCGAATGTTAGAGTTGGGAAAGAACCTAGAGGTCATTATTGGACATGTAGAAATTAAAATCAAAACAGGCAGTTTCTGGGACCTCCCTGGTGGTGCAGGGGTTAAAGACAGTACTATCAGGGCCTCCCCTGGTGGCACAGGGATTGAGCACTGGGCTGTGAGGCTGCCTGCAGCCTGTGAGGCTGCCTGCAGCTGGTTCATTCCCAGGCCACCAGCGAGGGTCCCACACACACACACACACAAAAAAACCAGTACTATCAAGCTATTGCCAGACACTGCAGCAAGAGTTCGCTCCCTGGCTGGCCAGGGAGATACCCTCATGGCGCAGCAGACCTCTCCTGCTTGCCCGCTGCTCCCCTCAGCAGTGTATTTCAGTCAGTCTGCCTGTTCTATTCCCCGCTCTCTCTGCTGAATCCTCTCACCCCCCGCACCTCTGGCCTACACCCCAGTTCTTGTATGCATAAATAAATAAATCTTTAAAAAAAAAAAAAAGACAGTTTCTAAGGTCATACATTGAGTTGGAGGCAGAACTAGAACTTAGTCTGGTTCTTAGTCTGGTGTGGTTTGCTTCATCTGACCACCTATTTTTTCCCCTTGAGTAAGAAAGAGCAACTATAGAAATTCTTTCCTTTATCTAATGTTTTGACTTTGTAATTCTTTTTTTTTAAAGATTATTTATGCATACAAAAGATTATTTATGCATACAAAAGCTGGGGGGTATAGGCCAGAGATGCAGGGTCGGGGGAGGGGAGAGGATTCACCAGAGACAGAGTTGGGGAATGGGGAACAGCACACAGGCAGACTGACTGAAATACACTGCTGAGGGGAGAAGCGGGCGAGTCATAAGCAGTCTGCTGCGCTGTGTGGGTAGCTCCCTGGCCGGCCGGGGATCAAACTTGTGCTGCAGAGGCTGCAGATTGCTTTATGGTGTGGTGCTTAACCCCTTGAGCCACCAGGGAGGCCCTGACTTTGTAATTCTTTCCCATAAATCTACCACAAATTTCTAGAGGATTAAACCAAACTTGAATGTCCAGGATAAGCCCTACTTGGTCATTATTATTTTTTTTTAAATATGTTGCTGATGTAGTTGTATTTGGTTAAGGATTTTTGCATCTGTGATCATGGAGATATCGGCCTATGTCTTTCTTTTTT